TTATAAGAAATTGGTATGTCACATTCGTGACGCTGCTAACGACTCAGACAGCACAAATTTCTAAAAGACGTCCTAAAGGTGCCTACGTGGAAAGAATTTCATAGTAAAAATTATTATATTTGTACCCGAGAAATAGATCGAGACATTCTGTAATAATTCATTTATTCCCATTTCATATATGCTACTTGTATTTTAAGAATTGACATCTTTCGGAAGTTTACGCAGTTTGGGCAGCATGTTATATGGCTGATTTCCGAAATAGTGAAAAATTATTTCGGAAAAACAATCGATTCTCGGATACTCGGTCTTTTCCCGTCGTTGATGCTGATCGAAAGGCGACTTCAAGGGCGATTAATGCGTTGCTTCCTCACTCGCGGTCGGTGAGAAAACATCGCAGCTAGGGGCTGGCCCTCTTTGTTTCTCGCAGCCTCGACGATCCTCAATTTAGTCGGTCTCCCGGCGCGCATTTATTCCGGCGATCCTCCATGGCGCCCTTTTCCCGCGCCCGTGAAGGACGCGCCTGGCCGCTTTGCCGCCCCTTGAATTAATCTCCTGCATACGTTAATCCTAATGAATTCCGAAACGCGCGCGCCAATCTCGGCTTACTCTAGCAAGGAGGAGACTCCCTCGTTTGCTGATGACACCGTCATCTAAAACGCTACCGACGCCCACCCGTTGATTTCCGTCAGGCAACGCGACGACTTAGGAAACGCGTGGATGCGACGCTTTTATGCGACGCCACGCGGCGTCGCTTGTGCCCGCCGAAAAAGCTCGTTTCAAGATGAGCGCAAACAATCGGGATTAATTGATGCCTTAATTAATGCTATGCGAATGGTCGCGCTGACAGCTTCCGTTGCGAAATTCGACAGCAACAACAATGACGACGACGATATCAAAAATCAAAAATTCAAAATGTTTGATTGGATTAAGGAAAGGTTTTGATTCACACAGACACTCGAAAAAAACGAGGTTCTTACGAATTTTTTTTTAAAGAAATTTATAAAGATATCTATATAAGGTCTTGGACCATTACTATTTATCATCGTTTTAGATATAACGAAATTAGTTTTTTATTAAAAAAAATCGTTTTTTGCGCTAAGCGCGGTGTCTAACTGGTGAACATTACAGCTTGTGTAATAACCTGAAAACAAGTGTGGTCCCAGAAAATTTAAAAACTGTAGTAAATTTACTGGCGTCGTCAGTTTTACAGAATTTAGCATATATGACAAATTTCGCTATTTAATGATCTTTTCTCAGTCAAATCAGTGTAAGAAAAGAAAGAAAAGAGAGAAATGATAATTATAAAGATGAAACTTCACAAAAATATATAATATATTTTATGTAGGTTATATACTGAGGAAAAATAGTTGAAAACTTATCTGTAATATATAAATCTTATATTCTACAAATAAATTTTTAAATATCTTTTTCTCAGTGTATAAATATTAATAAAATACACACACACATAAATACATTCAGACAATTGTAAATAATAAGATAAATATTTACTAGAAGTAGAAATATATTCGACTATACATCCAATATGATATTTTTTTCGTATAAGAGGACATTTACTGTATGAAATTTAATATTAATTTCAAAGAAAAATATACGTTTCATAATAAAAAAAATCTTATTCTTGATTCAGTAATATTTACTTCAGTTTATTCAGTAAATACTTTAGATTAAAAAATGCATTGTTAAATAGAAATAAAATGTTGTTTAAAGTAGAAGTGTATGCGTAAATTGTTCAAAATTAGCAATGAATGAATGAATTTTAATTCAATTGTAAAATCTGCACGGAAAGAAAGGTTTGGTTGGATTAACCAAATATCTGGTTGAATATGAACGATCTAGACATTCCGATTGAAGTAACCCGAATTCTGTTTAACAAGATTTTTGGTTAACTTAAACAGAATTCGGATTACTTCAATCGGAATTTCTGGATTGTTCATATTCGACCAGATATTTGGTTAATTCAACCAAACCTTTTTTCTCGTGCGGATTTTACAATTGAGTTGAAATTCATTCATTCATTGCTAATTTTGAACGATTTACTTATGCAGAAATTCATTTGTAAATTAATATATATTTACTTCGAAGTAAATATTTATATATTACGAGCCATAAAAAACACATAAATTAATAGAAAAATTGCTGGGTTTAAAAAGGTAAAGTTACGTTTACTTTAAAGTTACAAATTACAAGTAAGTTACGTTTACTTGATTCCGGTGTATAACTTCGTGTACGGCGTTTAATTTCTTCGACGAAATGTCGTCATCCGCGACGCAGCTCTCTCACGTTCACAGTTCTTTGCGGGAGATTCTACGAGAGAGACACGCAGAACCTTGCCGACTCGCACGTAGCTTTTCTTATCCCCGCCCGCGCGCGCACTCGACGATACTGCGCGTCGCTGAATTCACCCCGGGTGATTTCGCGGCCGTAGGTGGATAGATAGATAGGCAGGGGTAGGTAGCATGAAACACACACGCTTATGCGACCGCATGCCGCAGGTGCTTAAAAGGGGTAAGTGGTAGTGCGATGAATAGACTAACGGTATGCCGTCGGGGAGAGAAACGGAACAGGGAGAGAGGGGGAGGAGGGGAAGGTGGGCTCGGCAAGTAGCGCGAGGGACGCAGAGGAAGGGTATAGTGGAGCACACGGGATGGGGTTGCATGCATCATGCATATTTACGCTTGCAAACTACTTCTAGCTTCGAGCCAACGAATGCGGCACGAGTGGCCCACCAGGGGAGTGGGGCAGAGGGGGAGGACAGAGGGAAAAGGGAGAAGGGCAGATCCCTGAACTGTCAAGGACGTATTTATGCAAACGCGCGCTGATGCGCAGCCTGTGTATTATTATATTCCGGGTTTCTCGTGGTAAGCGAATTGATTTCGTCGTGATTTCGCAAGTTGCGTTTTTACGCTTGACGTTGTCTTTCCTTCTGTCTCGCGCTACCGTAAACGACAGCTTACACATTATGGTTAAGTAAATAAATATATAATCAGATAATATAGAAATATTAATAATAATAACTAAATAATTATAAAAATTAAAACCAAATAAGTGATCAGTGATCTTTACGGGTAGAACAGACCGGGTTGAGTCGGCCCATGGATTACGTTGGCTACACGTTTATGTGTTTATTGTGAAAGCGGCAGTGGAAAAAGGATCGCAAAAGGTTCCTTTTAAGGTACAGGCACTCTGTCTACGTTCTAAAAAGAACAGTTTGCGATCCTCTTTCCACTCACTGTAAATACAAGTGTTATTCTTAAAAGGAAAACTATACGACCTCAAGGATATGTTGCTCATGTGTTTTTTTAATATTTATCTTGAGAGGAATAGAGAATACAAAATCGCGAAATGGTCTTTCTAGAACATAAATTCGTTTCTCTATGTTTCTCTAAGTTCATTAAAATCGGTATAATATTGCAGTTAAGAAATAGAAAAAATCTGATTTGGTAAAAGCATAGGAAATTTTCGAGCCTCTCCATCGTGACTGAATAAAATTAAGTGATGTGTCACTAATTAGGATGAAATTTCTTGCAAATGTATGATATACTGTTTCTGGCAATAAATGCCATTTTCACTTATAAAATGATGCAAATAAAGTATATGGACGGACGACCATATTGGCCCATAATTAAGGGCCGGCAGGGAAACTGTGGAGACTTCTCGTGGATTATTCTGAGACTACCAATCAGGATACATATTTTATACAAAACCTTAGCCCCGGTCTCCCCTAAGCGTGTAATTTGGTTGAAGCACTTCTTATATGTCTTTTGCGCTTTTAAATCACGTCACTTAACATGTTTAAGACATGTAAATTACAATGTAAAATGTTTAAATGTAAATGGCGTGATTTAAGACGCTAAGAAATGTGCAAGAAGAGCATTCACCCAAAATAATATACTTGAATTTGCACTGCTGGTACTCTCTCACAATAAACACGTAAACAAAACGCACGGTCAGCATGAGTCTTGGGCTAACTTGACCCGTATTCTTCTGTGATTAGATTCCGTATTATTAAAATGGTACTTTTCCTCCGGAATCGGTTACACTGTCGCGTTCATCAGCCCGGTGAAAAAGCTCGAGAGTACGCGCGGTAACGAAAATGTTCGTTCGTTGCATTCGCATCCTCCGTTGCATCCAGGGGAGGGCGTAACAATCGTAACGAAGCCGTGGGCGAGCGACGAGGCGACCGGGACGCGATAACAGTGGTAACTCGGCAAGTGTCCCGCTTTTCAACTCGCTGAAATCATAGAAGGCAGCTGTATCGTGCGCCGCAGAGAAAAGTTTCACATTCAATTTGTTCCTCTCGTTTCGCCGTAATCGCTCGCCAATGACTTCCCCCGTCTGCACCTGCCTTCGTTTCTCTTCCCCGCATCCCGCGTCCTCAGGATCCCCTGGCCGCCCTTCCATCCGCCTATCTTCAGCTTCCAGTGCAACCACCGACCCTCCGCAAACCCCCTGCTGGGTCCACTTAAACCGAAGCGTGCACCGGTATACCGGATTGCCGGCACGAGGGGGATGTGCCGCGCTATCGCCCCCCTTTCGCACAGGGTGCTTTCCTCCGACCAATGGCGATGTCGGGACCTCGTCGTCTCGCCACCGCGCTCCAGCTTCCGCGCACCAATCGCTGAAGACGCTCAATGCCGAGACCAAGTCGGGGTGAGCATGGCGCAGCCACCCCCAAAATGGCTGCGAAATCGCGCGGGCATTAGGCAGCCCGTTCGAAATAAACGGACGGATTAATTCGCTAGGGGCTGCAGGGGCGGTATGGAGGGGTAAGCGAGCGCGTACCCCCCTACATCCGCGTGCGCGATAACTTCTTAGCCTTGTGTCTCCACCCCCGCGTGGTTCGCCTCGCGTGCTTCCGTAGTCGACGACGACGACGACGACGGCGGCGGCGGCGGCGGCGGTGAGGACGTCGGGCGAGATCGAAGGCGAGGACCAGGGTTTTTGAGGACGTTTTCGGTCATCCGCGCGGCTACCATCGGTCACGCAGAACGACACGCAGCATCCGAACGGTAGCATGACAGTCGGATCTCCCGGTGCAAGTGCAGTGATACAGTTTCTATCGGACTGATAGAACGGATAGCGACTGATTGTTGTTGTTGTTACTGTTGTTACTGTTGTGGTTGTTGTTCGTGCGTCGCTTCAGCGCGACTGCAACCTCGATTGGCAGCCGCGCGAGTGTCGTGGCCGCGCCGTTCCACCCCGAGGACGATGATGCAGGAGCACAAGTCCTTCCTGATCAGGGACCTCCTGGGGGACGTGTTGGCCGACCGAGTCCAAGGTAGTTTTATCGCGGAGAAAGTGTTTCGACGTGAAAGCTAGTTACCGTAAGATGAGGTTACTTTGTGACACAGTGAATATTGGTCAATAGTGATAATTATCACTATTGACCAATATTCACTGTGTCACAAAGTAACCCCTACGGTCACAAAGTAACTCCATCTTACGGTAATAATAATTGGATAAGCAAATGCCTCCCCCCTTTCTTGATTAGGAAGAACTTTGTACTAATCATATGTGAAATTGAAATTCGATGAAGTCAAGTTGATGTTCTCATACGTTGTAGCTTGTAACCTGCTTATAACATGATTAGTGCGGTGTTCTTTATTTCATAATCCTGATCAGGTTAATCTCAATCATTTACCCGATTTAATAACCTGCTTTGTATAAAGTGCACGGAAAAAATTCTTTGATTCATCTCTGCAGTGATAATTTAAGTAAAATCACTGCGCGATTCCCGCCAGATTTTGTTTTCTTTAATAAGCACGCCTGGATTTCTTTTCTCCTTATTATTAATTTTTTTAAAGAACTTTGAAAAAATTGAATACAAAATATATCTAACTTGTATCTGCTATATGAGTTAAAAAAATATACAATAGTTTAAGTAAATTAGGAGAAATTAAATATTTTGCTACAAAACTTTTTCGGGAAAACACTGAGAAAAATAGAACTACACTATTAAATTATATTTACATTTAAATAATTTTTACTTTGTCCTAATTATTAATAATCATTATTAATAAACTTCTGATTGTCACGCTGCGTTAAAATGACTTATCAGGACACGATAAGATTTCTTTATAAAAAACAAATAACTGATTGAGATCAATCTGATTAGAACCATGTGATAAATTTTTAGTCGATTAGTTGCAATTGTTGATAGAGCAGAATCGCGTTTCTTAACTCTAAATTGCTTTAAATTGCTAGTAATCTATTATTGCTAACATGAAGTCATTTTAACTCTCTTAATTGCTTTTTTCGTTTGTAATTTGGCTTAACGTTTCTCATAATTTGTTATACAAAGAGAATCAAAGTAATTTATTAATAATATATGTATTTATAAGCAACCAATATTTAAAAAATATTTTTTTAATGAAATCACAGGGAGTAATTATTCGAGATGTGAGTCAAAATGACTAACGTTGGTGATCTATAAAAGCAGGTTAATTTTAATCTTCCATGAACTTCAGTCCACGCCATTTAACGACCTTCATGAACGGCGGGGATCATGAATGAATAAAATTAAACATTCAAAGTTACACAAAGAAGGATAAATCGGTGTTCAGATGATTGTTATCGAAGGGCGAAATCGCCACGCGAATTCTTCGCCTCCATCCCGTCAATTTCGCAGTTCTTCTCTTTTTTCTTCCTTTATTTTTTTCACGCGAGCATTTTTGGACGCGTGGCTGGTCGACGGCGTTCTCGTTAGAAAGCGGACCCCGTGGTGTGCTCCTATTATTTAAATCGCCATCATACATATAAGGCCACCAAGGGTGACCCCTCCGCAATCCCCTCGGAAGTGGTGCCCCATTAGAAGCGATTCTACAGATGGTCCGAGGTGCCGAAAGATTCGTTAGAGCTCGTTAGCGTCGTGGATTTTCATCGAAGATTATTACCCCCCGGGTGCGCCGTCGCGACTTTATTGGCTGATCGTGAGGGGGTACAATGGGCCGCGCTAATTGAGATGGTTTGCTCTAACCGGGATCGATCACCGTCGCTCGAGTCGTCCGCTAGTTTATTGTTTCGGTAATGGATTTTGCCCGACCGACTGAGAGGACTCGCCGATTACATCAGCCGGAAAGTAGTTGTGGTTGTTATTGATACAAAAGAGCGGAGGAACGCATTTTTATATCCGCCTTCCACATCCGTTTCTCCCTTCTACAGAGGCAATCGAATCCTAATAATATACACAGAAGTAATAATATCTCAACAATGATAAAGTAATATCACTCGCATAACGAACTCTATTTCCCACAAGATGATATGGAAATTTACAGTTATGCCTTAAGTTGACGAGTTTAGACGCAATTTATTTTATCTCACGATAAAACGTGACGCACGCTTCATTAAAGAATAATTAGAGCACAGAAATTTATCTTTTTTTATAGTGACTTCAATATTTCGTGACTGTCGATTGTGTTTATGGAGATTACAGTGATTTCCAGTGTGATAAATCATCATGCATATAACGATATAGTTCAATTTAACCTTCCGAATCCTGAATTTTGTTTGTTCTAAATTGAATCCTCAATTTTTCTTATATTAACAGAGGAATACCAGATAAATAATATATAAATAATACTACAAAAGTTCGACTTAAAAAGTCGTTTTGGCAGGAGAAAATTTAAAAATTTTATTATGAAGAATTAAAGAATAGATGAAGAAAGTGCGAACGAAGATATGCCATCGAAAATACGTTAAGGGTCGATTGTTTCTTGGCAAGCTATCTAAATTATGTGTCTGTCTAAACAGCTATTTAAACAGTCAAATCATATGTCTGTCTCTGTCCAATTTAAGGAAAAAACGAAGACAAATATATGATTTAATTGTCAGATAGTTTACCAAGAGATTGGAACAATCAATCCTAAATGTTAGTAAAGTTACTGTTCCATTATTGCAGAAGACTCGGAGGACGACTCAGCCGTCCACTCGGATTCCGAGGACACCATTGATCCTGGCAGTAGTCCTTGCACGCGTCTAGGAAGTCCTCCCCCGGCGCTTTCGCCGTCGCCTGGTCTCGCGACCACATCCGGAAAGTCCTGTAATGTGACTAGCAGCGCACCGCCGACTGGCAGAAAACCGCGAAGACGACGTACCGCCTTTACTCATGCCCAGCTCGCTTACCTCGAGAGAAAATTTCGTTGCCAGAAGTATCTGAGCGTGGCGGATCGCAGTGACGTCGCCGATGCCTTGTCGCTGTCGGAAACGCAGGTGAAGACCTGGTATCAAAACAGAAGGTATGTGGGAAATTTCAGCTTGTGAAAGCTCAATTTGTGAGGCAGTTTAAATCTAGACAATGAATCTTCTTAAACCCTTTGCGGTTCAAGTTGTTTTCGATTATTTCTCAATTGAAAAAATTATTTATTCTTCTATTCTTAAAGATTTATTTTTAAGAAAGAAATTCGCAAAAATTCATTGACCTCGCGACAATATTGCGTTTATTTCAATATCTTAATATTTAACTAATGTACATATCCTTATTAATTTATAACTATTTACAATTTCCTAAATTTTACTTAATTTTTACTCTTATTATAATCCTGTAAACTCTTAAGTACTCGAATACAACTTCGGTATTTAACTATAGAAATATTTGAGTTATACTAATAGTTTATGAATGAATAGAATATAATTATTAACTGGTTTATTATATATATACTCTGGAAAAAAAATCAGAATAATATTCGGCTACAAGTAACAGTAGTACAGATATTCACAGAGAGAGAGAGAGAGAGAGAGAGAGGATAAAAAAGAGATAAAAGAATCTGCAATATAAACAAAGTATAAATAACACAAAAATAAAAAGAATAAAAAATAATATATAATTATACCGAGTGATATAATAATGGGAAAAACAAAAATCGCAGTAAATAGGAGGCGAAGAACGACAATGAATAGATAAAAAATGAATGATAATGATATGACATGCCATGATTAATAATTAATAAGTCAATATGGACGGATCCAAGCACTGTCTACGTTTATATCTAGTTCCACAATTCGCCAAACGGCGGTTAAAGGATTAGCTTGGACTCCAAAATGTCCCGAAAATTCCCGTATATGTAACAGTACGTGCATAACGGCGAATTCGCAGGACAAAGTGGAAACGGCAGAACCAACTGCGGCTGGAGCAGCTGCGCCATCAGGCCACCGTCGAGAAGGAACTCCTGGTGCACGGTCTTCATCACGGTAGCATAGACGCTTATTGCTCACCTTACAACGCACAAACGCAGACCAGTCATCCTCCACCACCACCGCCGCCGCCAGCACCATCCACCGCCTCGACGGCGGCGTTTCTCTCCACGGCGGCCGCGCTCTTCCGAAATGTCACCTACGTACACGGTTGCCCCCTTTAACCCGCAGGATTCCAAAGATCTCGAGATGACTTCTGGATCAGCGCAACGGAAGAGAGACTCGGACGGACCATTCGTGTCGTGAGTGTCACTACACCTTGAAGTGTTGTCACGGAGATATATATTTCCGGTAATTTTGGGATTCTCAAAATCATTAGTGAATTACTTTAAGAGATTTTCGTTTTGCATTCTTTTGCACGGGAGAAGAGGATTTCTCTGGCGCAGCTAATTATGATTTTCTGATAATGAATATTCGTTGCTGTAACTAAAAATTTACTGCTGCAACCGAAACTTTTGTTGCTGTTGCCACTACTTCGGTTTCACAGCTAAATATAGTGTGTCTACCGGCAGATATACTTTTAAATATTCGTATGTTACAACGAGATTTAGCCACACATAGATTTCTACTGATGCAGCTAACTCTTTTTTCCGTGCAAAATTGCTTTATGCAACAAATGGCGCGAAGAAAATATAGCTTTTCTTTTCTTATATGAAACAAATAACCCCGTTAGTGTAATTTAATTTTTTATTGTCTGAGGAGAATAGGGACCAGATGAAAAAGTCGATTGTACAGTTGGCTGATTAAGAGTTGTTTCGATGAGTTTTGTAATGCATAATGCATCTAATAAGAACATTTTTTTCTTAGTAATTCTCGAGATTACATTTTTACATATTTTTTTATATACATTTTTCTGTTGGATACGGAATGCGTTGCAAACTCATCGAAGAAAAGTGTTGCAATTTTTAACGTCATTTCCAGATAGAGATATTTTAGATGATAGAGATATATTGTCTGAATAATAACTAAATTGAGAATTGAACATTATAGCACAAGTACGCAAAGATGCGTCCTCATATAACAAAAATGTTGTCAGTATATAAAAGGAGCTGACCCTATAGAAATCTAATGCTATGAAAATTGTGCCAATATTGCAGCAATGTTCTGCTGCCATGAAAATTGCTGCTTATTTGCCGGCAATTAATCCGAAATTATTGTAATAATTAGAAGAAAACATTTTAATCCAAAATATGATGTAATGAGAAGTGGCATTTCCTAAAATAGTATATTTTAAATATATAGATATATATAAGTTTCGTTTCACATTTACAGTTATATTTAGGTAGTGAAATAAATATATAGAAACATATTTTTGTTTGATAAATATTAAATTTATGAGTAATCTCCTTGATACAACATTGAAAATATGGCATTTACAACTGCCTTAATCAGTCGACTGTAGGAACAAAAGATTGCTGTAGAAGCTTTCTACTCAGTTCATTATTTTTAGTTCATTACGTTTAGTAATCGTGTTTTAATGCAATTGAATGTTTAGATAAGTGTTTTCAGTCGAAATAATTCTTATTTCTCGTCACTGAATTTTCATCTGGTTCTCATTCAATTACACAGCTAAAATTTGTTGTTCATGTATGTGAGTCCGCCAAATAAATGCCAACGCAAGGAGTTAGAGCAGATTGTCACACGGAGAAAAAATATTGTAGTAAAATTACACGTTAAAATAATACTTCTTTTCATATTTCTTGTAAAGCTGAAATATATTGATACATTGTACTATAAATATAGTACTATAAATAATATTGTACTATAAATATAGGTCACTATACACGAAAAAAAAAGGTTTGATTGAATTAACCAAATATCTGGTCAAATATGAACGATTCAGAAATTCCGATTAAAGTAACCCGAATTCTGTTTAAGTCAACCAAACATCTTGTTAAACTTAAACAGAATTCGGGTTACTTCAATCAGAATTTCTGAATCGTTTATATTCGACTAGATATTTGGTTAATTCAACCAAACCTTTTTTTTCGTGTAGAAATAATAAATTTTATGATCTATCGAATAAAAACTACATAAAAATATTCAAGTAGTTTTGTGGTAAGATATCAAACGCGTATAATATTTTTAAACAAATATATAGTAATTTGGTCATAATTTTTACATAGTAACAAAAAACAAAACAAAAATACAATAATTAAAAAATTACTAAAATATCAAGATTGTCAAAATACTAAGATATGAAAATTACGGGAAGATTACTGTAGAATTTATCTCACCAATAAACACAGTACTTATGGTATATTTTATGACAGTAGATTTCAGTTATTAAATATAAACAGCACACGGAAAAAAGATTTGCTAATATATGGACAACTAAAAATATTAACTGCAGGAGCAAATTTTCTTGCTTTCATAGCAAAGTTATTTAGTTGTGATAGTTAAAAGATTTGCTAATATATATATTAGCAAATCTTTTTTTCTGTGCAGATACGAAACGTAAGGATAATAAAGCAGTTGGTATGTTTCTCGGTTGCAAAATTCTATAGTAGTTTTTACTATCAAAGTTTTTCTCTCCGTGTGTGTAATGAACAACGCATAAGAACGGTGTCTGTGCATATTTGGATTACTTTTTCCATTATTCAAGTTGGTTGTACCTTTTGAACACGCGTTATGTTTAAAATTTATATATTGTTCGTATTTGAAAGTGATCCAGAGGACGATTGAAATTATTAACCGATACCACGTCGATCATGCTTCCACGTGTCGTCGAATCTTCACGTCAAATGTCGTAGACATTTTCTCCTGCACTCGGAAAGTTCTGTCGAAGATTGTTTCCTCCTGTCGTTTTCTTTTTGCATGCGAAGTATTAATCGAGGAGATTCAATAAACATGTAAATATGTAATTACGGAATGAAGTCGATCGGTCGTAGCCGATTGTCTTTCGAGAGCTGAATTCGACGAAAAACTTTGTGGATTTGTAGGAAAGTTCGATTTGTAGGAAAGTGTGCAATTGGCGTATCTCAATGTATGTAAAGAAAAGTTGCAATATTTTTACCTTGATAAATTTCAGAACGCATCGAATAAAAAAATGTATCTTCTGAATATTTCTGAAAAAACAACTTTTACCGTTTGATACCAAATGCGTCTTAAAATTGTTTGAAGTAAAAATGTTGCAACTTTCATATGAAGTGTATGATGTGTAAGTTTTGTTCACGTTTCATCGTTACAGATGCAAAGTTAGCGTCAGGTTTGCAAAGATAAACGAAGATGACGGAGATGGGCTATTTTTCGTCGTGACCGAAAGAAATCATGCTGCGACTTCGTAATATAAATCAAGAATATACATTAGAAGCACGCGCCTGATCGACGATGAGCGATTTACATGATTTAACGACAGATTGATCTCGTAGCTACTTTAGTGATCTTAGATTGAATAATAATAGTAATAATAATGTGCAACGCGCTCGACCACATGTAAATGAGCGCATCACGCGCTATTGAACTCTAGTTCTCATTAATTCAGTTGGCTATCGTTACTCGCTGTCAACGATCTGTCGAGTATCTTTTATGAAATATAGAAGAGGTTATTGTAGATAAATAGATATTATTATCGAGATACACGCGGATGTGTATGTGTGTGTGTGTATGTGATATTTCTACCCGACACGCTCCTTTCCCGCTGCACCTTTACGCCGATCGAATCTAATTGAAGTCGAACCGGATGATCTCGCGAACGCAAAGTACCCGGAGGAAGAGAGAAGGAGGAACGTATCTCGTTGTTATCTTGCATCTTTTCTTGACGGACTTTTTGCAACTGAAAAGTGGAGAGCGCACGTGGCGATAGGCACGTGGCCAAGCACGAGTAATTGGTTGAAACCGATACAAGTCGAGTGGAGCGACGGCGACGCCTGCGAGCTGGAATTGGCGGTTGTGGTGGATCTAATTGCACGGAAACGATGAGAGAATGTGCGGCAACTGTCGCGATTATCACGGTGATTTTTGCCGTAGCCGTGGTTGCTCGCGTTAATTGGGTCGAAAGAAAAAAAAAGAGAGAGAGAGAGAGAGAGAGAGAGAGAGAGAGAGAGAGAGAGAGA